GTTTTAGCAACACATACACAAACACATGTTACAATTTTACCAACATAAAAACCTACTAAACCTATACAAATAAAATCCCTATCTTACCACCACACACCCAAAAAAAAATGGCTCACGTTGCCACGGGTTCCCCATAAAAAAAAAAACAATTAATGTACGTTTAAATGGGGATTATAAACTTGGAAACCACTGCACCAAATTTTGAATACATATATTCCTTGAGACTCGGGGAGTGTTTATAGTTTCGTTTCCAAACCACCAAACCCTATAACCTTACTATTAAAAGGCTCATATATTATTTTCTTATGGCTCCCTTTTTTTTTAGCTTCTTAAAGTAACATTATCATAAATTAAACTTATAAACAAATAACATTTTTATACTTCCATAGATATCGCGCATAAGACAATAATTATTAGGTATTCATTAATATTTACTTCGCAATACATACCAAATGCACCAATCCAAGAATTATTTTTAAATTGGAGATTGTGATTATACAATGTATAATAAAATACTAATACATAGCAAATAAGTAAATAATAATGAGGCTTCAATAGAAGTTAGGTATTGCACAATTGGCATAGAGTTTGCCGTTTTTACTACACTGAAAGAGTGTTTATGGCGTTATGTGCACATTAATTGAACTTGACCGTCATGAGGGACACTGCACTCCTGAACCATTCTTAAGAGGACATCGCACTAATATGATGTTCATTTTTTCCTTGTAGGTACCTAAATGCAACAACAACACTAAAAAAATTATTTCTGCAATCACGTTGTCTCAAAAGTCAAAGATCGATCATAGACAAAAAATTAAAATATAAATATTTCAAAAATATCCCTACTTTTATATTTAATAATATTACAAAGGTACCTATAGTTTTTGTTACCTATTATATATAGAATCATCCGTATCTCTAATGATTTGTAGCCCATAGGTAAATATAGTCTTTAGTTGAGTATATATTAATATTGCCCATGCACTAACTCGTCTATCACTAAGGATAAAATTCTTTTTTGGATAGACTAGTCTCTAAAAAATGATAAGTCAAATTATTTAACAAATTTAGTTTATTAGTCAATATGTAATTTTTAAATTGATAGTAATAAAAATCTAGTTAAGAGATGGTTATTAATAAGGTATAATTTTATCAAAACCAAATATAAAACACCAAAATAAAATCAACATAAAACGATAGATGTTTTTAGTTATTTATTTATTTAGGTACAGTCCTCCCCATATTGCATGTTTTTAACCACCCCGTGTGTGAAACAACTGTTAACATATTTTTAGTTTTGTATTGTCGATGTGAGAGACAAAGGAGACAAATTAATCTCTTAAACAAAGTGACGACATGACTTCTCCTTCTTTATACACATGGGCACCTACTATAATAGTAAATATTGATTATATCACCAAAATTACCTACATTGCATATTTGCATTAAGTATTAGACCAGCAATTATTTGTATAAACACATTAAATGAAAATATAATTGATTTAATAACATTGTATAATGTTATGATATTGCATAGGTATCTAATAACTAATAAGTACTATTTATAGTAAGTTGTAGGTAATATATAAATACATGTAGATAATGTAGATAAGAGGGAGGTACCACCTATAGGACATATGGGTAGGTACAGTATACATTGTATTGAACATAACCACAAATGAAAAAAAAACATTTCAAAATCAATTAAATAAAATAATTTCTAATATCTGTTAGTTTCAATAATTTTAATGTACGTATTATAGTGTGCTAGGTACTCTACAAAACTTGACTGAATATATACAATTGTATTGAGTACCTACCTCGGCTACCTCCCTATAAATTATAATGAACTAGTAAACTACTATATGTAGGTATATTGCAGAAGCGAATTTGTTTAATTTTAATGCTATTAATTATAAATTAAATTATATCGTTGTTTATATCAAATATGAATACATTATATAGGTAGTTTAACCGCATATTATTGAAAGTTTAAGTAGGTACCACGGGATAATATAGTAACAATATTATGAATATTTATGATGATATGCGTTGCATACAATGTGCACGAACTGCATTTTATTTTATATAGTACTTGTTATTTTACTTCAGATAATTAATGCATGTACCATTAAACCCATGTGTTTAGCTTATAAATGTATGTAGTTAAAATTTTTATCTAGTTGGTACACGTGAAAGTGAAACATAGATACTACATATTGCATGATTTAATACACACTGTAGACCTTGACATTGAAGAACCTCTCCTATGAATAAAAATGTTTTGGCGTTAATATGAAAACAAAATACATCGTTTGAAATATTCGTTCAATCGATTTATTCCTAAGATATACAGATTAGCAAATATTTAATTATTATTAAAATATACAAAAAAGGAACTTTTTGATCAAATCTACCAACTTCTAATAGGTTAAGTACATTATATGTAGGTGCCTGTGTATTGTAATAATAGTCAATATAGTTTTCTATTTCAGTTGTGAAGTGCATGTCAAATCAAATTGAAGCATACAATACACAGAGTATAACAAACTAGTCCAAAGTTTGTGAAATACCAATATTTCATCCAAATATAGCTGAGTCAAACTATTAAATATAGGTACCATAGTTATGAATTATGATGAAATATTTATTAAAAAAATTTTCATTGAACGTAGAACATAATTTAATTATTACTGATTATTATGATGCTAAATAGTAAATGTTACATGTAACTATATAAATATATTATCAACTATCTATAGGTATTATTATGCATTTATGCAGCTTGCATATTATATAAGACAAATTAAATTCAACCTAAACATTAATACTCTTCGATATTAGAAATTAATACCTCGCTAAAGTATAATATCAGTTCAGTAATATATTTTCTTATATATATTATATAAATCATGTAATATTTATATAAGTAACTATATAGTAGGTAAGTTATCAGTTATTCTGTTATAGTAATCTAAGTACCTATGGATCAATCAATTAATAATTATTATTAAAACTATATAATATTTCTTAACTATATACAAAGTGACTTTTTAAGCATAGTCATTGGTCACCTTAGGTTCTGAGCGGAACGATGGATTTATTGATTTTACAATGATGTGTGTTTTTTTATTTTTCTGTGTTCTTACAAGATAGATACCTAGATATAATGCTTCGATTTACAACTTTAGTATCTTTACTGGCGGGAAATCCAGTTGGTGCAATCAGGAGGACAAAATTAAAATTCCCAGTAGTTTTCAAAAGCACCAGGAAAAACAAAAAAAAAATAATGAAAAACGGGAAATTTTATGCTAAACCGGTTTTTGATCAAATCGATTTTAGTTTTTGGTGTAACTCTAAAAAAAATTACTGTAGATACCTGACATTTTTACAGAATGTTTATTTCAGCATTTTCTATACCTAAACCAAACAATTTTCAAAATATTTCGACTCATGTTGAGCTATTTATAAGCATATGAAATTTTCGATTATCATTAGTTTTGTTTTAATTACTATATGAACAATACAATGGAAGTAGGTAGGTTAACTACAAAAATTTAGATTACATTCTGTATTTCTGTTCATATTTTAGATGTAAAGTGTAAACTTATAAGTCACAAGACTACTACGTACCAATCTTCACGATATTTGTGTCGGCTTTCGGCATATTAGTTGAATGAGTGAAAATTTGTTGGGTTTGGATTCCATCGCTTATTATAATAGGTACAACTACTACAACTGCACGAGAGACCAGTGCCATAATTATATTATCGTATAGCCCATATGGGTATATGAACCATAACCACTTACAATCACCTAAAATGTTCTTAGGTACCAAGAGGTAAATGGTAACTACCTACCATGTAAAGGGGGGTTTACAACTTACCGGGTCGTGTCGTATTCCGTGTGTTTATTACTTAGGTAAAGCCGTACGACCAATATTTTAACCTAACCTATATGGCTATACATATACCTATATACCTAACCTAACCTATATATAAAACATACGAATATGAAACGGTGAGTTGTGAACCCCCGTTCGCAGTCAATGTGCAGTCTGCTAACACATTTTCCCCACCTTATTGAGTTTTTAAATTGTTCGTATTTTAATTGACAAAACTGTAGGTAATGAATTTCTGCTTAAATATAGTAAATACATCACTTATTTAAAATTACAATTTTAAATTCAAAATCATGTACTTTACTTAAAAAATTGTAGATATACGAGTTCAAATTAATATTTATTTTTTAATAATTGTAGCAGAATATAAGCTATATTGTCATAGATGTCGGCACAACAGATTTTTTTTTGTTTTTGCGGTGGGAGGGTTAAAAAATGTAACAAATTAATTAGTTTAATTTCGTGTGGTCTTTATTTTTTGTTACACATTTTATTACTTTTTTAAAAACGCCGATTTTAGAAATTAAAAATGTATTTTTCGTTCTGATGCACTTGGAAGTTCATCTACGATCTATGACATAATTGATAACCACATTAATATTGAGATGAATTAATCAACGATATACACTAATTCAGTTTTTATTTGTATTTTTTTTTTAAAATTATTGTGTATAATATGTACATATTTGACATAAACAATGATTGAGTCTTTAGCAATTTTGTTATTTCACGATTTTTGTTTGGTATGTTTGGATACGCCACTAACTATATGACATGTTATAGATTAACTATATATAAAATATATTAATAAACTTAATATTAATCTAGTTTGATAACATCGAGTCATTTAAAATATGATACGCTATAAACTAATTTAATCAATAATCAATGTTACAAAAATAAATTGTTGTTAAAAATATCCAGGATTATTTTCTGCGTCATTAGGTAAATGTATATTTTATCTAACATTTACTAAAATGTTCACAGATTTTTTATAAATTTTTGAAGCCAGTGAGAAAATAGTCTAACACATCTATGATAAATATTTACTCTTTAGTTCATCTCATACCAAACAAAACTTCTGGATAATTAACACATATTACATTGCATAAATATTTTATTTACACATACATTAAAAATACTATATAAGGTGATACATTTAATACCTAAGTACCATAAACATAAATACATCACAATAATGAACTATCATGTCTAATATGATAATGTACTTTTTATATATTAAGAACAAGATAAATTAAATGCCATGTATATATAACAAAATGCTGCACGTTTTAATATTTTTTAATTATATATCATTACATTCTCATAAAAAAATAGCACCCTGGTATAACATACTATGAATAGCAGAAATAATTTTATGAAAATGTTAAGTGCAACAAATGTACTACATTCAACATTCCACTTTGTTATGTTTGTTTTAGAAAAAATGATACATAAAAACTAACATAATTTCAACTTTTTTTTCTTAGTAATTAGTTGTATGTTTATGTAAAAAAAAAATGTTATACTATACTTCACTTTTTTATAACAAAAAAATATTTTTATAGGAATTTTAATTATAGGCAACACACAATGAGCATGATTTTATAGACTAAACAAATATTAATAAATTTAGTTAAATTAATTAGTTTGATTTTTTGAATTAAAAAATATAATATCATCAGCAGCAATTGATGTAGTTGTTCGAGTAGTGCCAGATTCGTCTTTTAAATCTCCATAGATTAATCTCCCACTAATGTGTACACGTTGTCCTTTTTGTAGGTAATTATAGACAGTGTCACGCAATCCAGGTCGAAATACAACAATACGATGCCAGTCAGTCTTTTGTGTGCTTTCTAAAAACAATATAATCATAATATTAGAGGTGATGAAATAAATAACATAAACTAAATGTATTGCCTTCATTATTGTTGATATAATTTTGGTGTGTAGCCAATGAAAATACAACAACTGGATGTTCTTCTGTGCCTCGTTTTTGCGGATCTGCACCAACTCGTCCCAAAAGTGTGACTTTATTTATCGCTATTTGAATAAATTTTAATATGAGTAAAAACGTTATATATAATAGATAGTTGGTAATATAACATTACACATGAACAAAAAATACATATTTGATTAAAATTAAAAAATAAACCAACTTTTTTCAATTTTGATGGGTTGTGGCGCTTCTTGTGTGTAATTATTTCGAAATAGTTGCTTTGAAGAATTAGTACTCCTCAAAATACTGGATAAAATCTAAAAAATAAAAATTAGTTTAGAAATAAAATAAATAGGTAATAATTATATACTTATTTCAATTGGCATGAAATAGGTTAATACTAAATCCATATTTCAGTTATATTGAAATATTGAAATAAATAAAAAAATTAACATCACTAAAGACCAATTAATAGTTCAACATAATATTACAATACACTTGTGAATGTAAATTGTATCCACATGTTTGTATAATGATGCTAAATTAATATTTGGATATAGACAGAAACTTTGATGCAGTAATCATATTAGATATGATTTACTTTTCCCAAAAACTATGACAGAGAAATATAAATTGTAGAATTATTATACATACATATATAATTTTTGTTAAGAGTAGGTAGAAGTATAGAATATTTTTTTGTGAAAAATGTGCATGGAATAAAGCTTTTTATCAGAAAATATTTAGGGAATCATAATTCATAATATATTGTATCAAACAAATATAGTCTCTCAAAAAGAGACAAATAAAAGTATATATTGAATAGACAATAAATTATATAAAGTCTATAAATAGAGTGATAAAGAATTAGATATATTTTATTATTTAACATATTTTTTGTTGCACTTAATTTGATTGACCAAATCTTGAATCAGATACAAAATCTGTAAATGTATTAGTCAAAAAAATATGATTCCCAAATAACGAGTGTTCTTAATAATATTTTTCAACACCTTATAATTTCTGGCACTCATGATAATAACATATAAAAGAAAAGATTTAAAATATTTATTATTTATTTTGGACATTCGGCAAGTTCCAAAATTAAAATAGGTGACTTAGTATTTATTTTAATGTTTTAAGCTATAATATATTAAATGCAGGCAACTAGCAATAAAAAAACTATCTTTTAGAATAGATGTTTCATTAAAAAAAAAACTCTTTAATTAATCTAAACAAAATTACACTACAAGTTTATTAAAAACATATTGAAAAGAAATTATGTAAATCATATATTATTAACAACTACTTTTGCCAATGAACAAACAAACAATAGATGTATATGCTAATTTCTTGGACAAAATTTGAATTTACATCCTATTGAAACTGTTAATATTGTTGTACCTGTTATGTAAAAACTTCCAAAGCCCATATTATACATTCATACTACATAACAATAATATATTTAAAATGTATAAGTTCTTTTAAATTATATATTAAACATGATCAGTTTGGTTATGGGTATGATTTAAGAATTAGTATTTAATATTATGTGTTGGTCATGAAATAATTAAGCAATTTCTGTTTAAATTTTATGTTATAAGAAACTCTCACATCTTAGCACGTGAAATTTTGCTTTTATAGAAGTGAGTCAATATAATTTTATGTTTACTGATTACTATTATAAATTATAATATTGTACTATCACTCTCTTTTATTTTTAATTTGGTGTTGTTAATTTGCTCACTGTACTTATGTTGAACTGTCAAATGTCGTATTTATATTGGCAAAAAAATTAACTTATTATTATTAGGTATTATATTTAGGGACCAGGTATTTGACTACCAGAGAACATTTCACCAGCCATGACATTTTAAAATTACTATGGATTTTATTGAAAATCAGAATTCAAAGTTTCACGTTGTTATTTTACCTTTGATTTCAACATTTTTCTTTTTGTAAGTGCTTATTAGTGAATAGTGTTCTTCCGGACGACCTTAAACGACGGGTTCAACTGTAATACAGACAACATAAATAACGTACATTTATAATATTGTCAAGTAGATTAAATTTAAACGAGGAAACGTGCAATCCACTAATGTGATAAAATAACTTGAAAATATTGATTAATAACAGTATATTTTCCAGATTTATAACAATAAAATTGTCGTTCAATATTTACCGGTATATTGTAATGCGTTTGCGTACTCGAATAGTTGTTATGACGGCGTTGGTTTATTATTCGCATACAAATTAGTATATAAATACAATTTTTCACTTTTCAGTAATTCCGTTTTCACTTTTATTTGGCGCACTTTAGACAAACAAGCAGGCGATTTGATTTGTAATTATTTGTATTCGCGATAATGCGATTGCTCGTGTTATTTTAAGGTTATGGCGCCAAACGCAGCCAAAAATGTATGAACGAAAACCGTAGAAATTTGAGATTTAAAAACTTAAGATCCGGTGTGCGGGTGTTCGGCGACAGGATTCGTTGAGGTCTATGAAACACATCGTAATTGTGACGGTTTAAAAACGAATTTATCCGATTATTTTGCCGGCGACCGGGAACCGGACGCAAACGCACGCCCCGCCGACTCGTCAGTAGCAGCTGTTAAATTGTCCTGTAGAACAATCTGTGAGCCGATACTAGGCGGACCGGTCAAAAATCTAAATTTCTGGATACCCACCAATTTCCGTGCGTTGGTCGTGTAAATTTATAATAGTCGTTAATTCCTCTAATTTCGGTGCAGTCGGTACCGTTTTTTAACGAACGTCAGGCCCGTTCGAATAAAATGTAGTTCGCCAGACCGACGGTGCGCGTTATTATATCGTATTTTATTATCTTATCGATTCGTTTTTTTTTCTCTCAACAACTACCTACAATATACACCATTCCGTAAAATTATTTAATAATTTTAATTCGATCAACCTTGAATTACGTGTACAATAAAGGTAGGTAATAATACATTTTTTTTAATAAGTTTTACGATTCACTGTATTATTTATTATTGTTACTGCATCACAGTCCACACAATTGAGTGAGTCGTGTCGATGTGTTTGTGTAGGTACTTGCAATTTAATCCTACACAAAGCTATACCTAATATTTAAAAAAAATTGGTTATTGATAAAATCTAATTCTTATTGAACGTTATTACCCTAGCGTCTTCAAAGGTATGTATTAACTGTTAGAAACAAAAAAATATTTTTTTATTTTTTTTTATTTCAAGTAAAATTCCCTTTAGAATACTGTGCCCTCACCGAGAAGACTCGTGTGAAGGCCCAGGTTTTTGTTAAATTACACTTGGGTAACCATTTGTAACATGATAATAATTAGCAAGACGATTTGTACAATATGGGTAAGTGTCTATTTGCACTCAGCTATTGTCAACCATACTTTTTGTTGAGTCACCAAATGCAATTTGTACTGATTAATCAGTTTGAGTATTATTATTAAATGTTAATTTTTGTGTTTGTTTTATTTGACAATGTTTTGCAGTACAAATGTGTGATACCTTTAAGTAAATTAAGTAAATTAATCTAAAACATTTATTGTACTAATTGCTATGTATTAGCAATTAATTAATGTATAATTAATGTTAGTTTTAGTACATGCCCTGTTAATAATAATATTAATTTCCCATTTCAATATTTGGTATTGCACTTGTATACACTATTGTGTTGAACATACAATGAGCACAAATTTGTGTTTAACTCTTATCTTAAAAAATGTATTTTATACTTCAAGGTCATAAATCTTTATTTAATTTAATATAGGTAAGACACAAAAGTAATTTTTTTATATAAATCATTTTCCAATTACCTAATGCAGCATGATACAAATATATATCATTTAGTAATATAGCACCTACCTGATAAATGTGTGTATTGTGTGTATCCATATTATTAATAATTATATTAATAGGTAGCTACAAATGTGATTCATTTAATTTATTACTGTGGTAATTCGTAGTAATAAAATATAATGTACCTATTGATAATAAACATCATGTTCAATATCAATGTTAAATGTTAATATTACGTATTTTATATTGTGTAGATAATGTTCAGCTTAAACATGTAGCCATGTAGGTATAATAGCTTGATAATAATTTCAAATTTCTTAAAATAATTTATTATTTTTACAAATTTGAAATACTTTAATTGGATTACAAATCATAATATAATATCTAATCACTTGTTCTGTAAAATTATATTCATTATCAAGAAAATTATCTATAAAACTATAATATTATTTACAGATTAAGATTTATAATTTTTTTGCGATTTGACCTAAATTAAATATTCTTCTTTTATTCATCTTTTATGTATTTGTATTTTTATAGAGCACACTATTTCAAATCTGCATCCATAAGTCACAATGGGAATCATTGAAGAGCTTGTAAGTGTTTAATGTATAATAAAAATTTGATTATTTATAAAAAAAAAGAGTTATTATTTAATTACAATGTTTAGTTTTTAAACAATTTATCCAAACAAGTTTGGTAACAATTAACGTGGAAGTACACTGATTTCAATTTAATTTCAACTGAGCTATTCTAATTTCTTATATTAAAATCTTCCTTTTTTTAAATATTATGTTTTATATTCATCATTTTTATTAATTCAATTTATAAAATAATATTTTCACAAGAAATTTCTACTATGAACAATACTTGTAGTGCAGTGTATAATTTCTAATTACACTAAAACGTTACCTATAATTAGAATATTCAATTTATTATTTTCGAAAAACCTATTAAATTTTTTAGTGCCTCTTCTTTTAAGAAATGAGGACCTTGTGTGATTCTTCCATGAAGATAAACATAACCTTCAACAACTTTTACTTTTGATTTTTGTGTAATAAAAATTGATAACATTCCAATTCATCAACAGTTCATTAGTTAAGTCCTATTTTTTTAGCACAATTAGTAACTACTGAATTTATTTTTTAGTTACGTTTTTCTAAATTTGTGATTTCCTATAAAGAGAAAATGAGTTCTTTTTCTGTTAGAAATTTTTTGTCCAATTTTTCGGTAAAATTTTTTTATAGAATTCGATTTGTTTTTATTTAAATAATTTTTTATTTCAATATATTATTTACTATTACTAATGTTTATTTTTTAGAGCGTTTCTTCAGTGTTAGTTGGACTTGGGATTGTTGTAACTACTGGTTTTGCTATATCAGCATTTGTAGCAAATTTCCAAAAGAAAAGCCAAAAAAAAAGAACATTAGTGGATTCAAACACAAAGATTCCATTGCCACTTATTCAAAAACATATTATTAGTCATGACACACGGAGATTTAGATTTGAATTGCCATCCAAAAATCATATTCTTGGTAATGATTATTATGTACTTAAAATTTGTAGTTTTCATTATATTTTATTAGATAAAATTGTTCAATATATTTTATATTTTATTTACAATTTAATCATTTGTCATAACATTTGTTAGGTTAATTTTATTTGAGTCATTTAAATATTTATTACATTTGTGTGAATACAGATTTGTTAATATAATATTAATTCAAAAATATTAATTTCTAAAAACAATGTGCAGGTTTACCAATAGGGCAACATATACATTTATCAGCAAGAATAAACGAAGAATTAGTTGCCCGTGCTTAAACACCAGTCAGTAGTGATAATGATGTTGGATATATGGATTTGGTTATTAAAGTAAACTATTTTGAACAGTTTTAAATATATTTGTTTTATTGATTGCTTCATATTTATTTCTAGGTATATTTTAGAGACCAAAACCCCAAGTTCCCTGATGGTGGTAAATTAACACAATATCTTGAAAAAATGGAAATAGGCGACACAATAGACGTTCGAGGACCTTCTGGTCGTCTCATTTATCATGGGCGTGGAGATTTTGAAATTAAAGCTGTTAAAAGAATAGATCCTTCTCATAACCTTTATGCCAAAAAGATATCAATGATTGCTGGTAAATTAAAAAATGTTAATATTTGATAAAACTATTCCTGTGTTACAATATTAGTTTGTTCTCATTGTGTATGTCAGGTGGTACCGGTATTACACCAATGTTGCAGTTGATAAGACAAGTCACTAGAGATCCTAAAGATGAAACCAAATTGTCATTGCTTTTTGCCAATCAGACTGAAGAAGATATATTATTAAGAGATGAATTAGAAGAAGCCGTTAAAAGTCATCCAGATCGGATCAAGGTCTGGTATACTGTTGATAGACCTACTGATGGTAAATAATTTATTACACTTACATTATACTTCATATTATACTTTGTCGAGCCAGAGAACACACAGATTTTGTGCGTCCCAACTCGACACCCTGCCTTAAAGACCAGTTCCTTTTTAACAGACCGTTGCATAGTGATGTGCCGAAAAATTGTTTTTAATGGTCCACTCCGTGTTCTCTCATTGGGCAGAGTATATGTATTATATCTGCAATGTCCATTGCTCTATTTTAATGAAATATTTTTAATTTTTAGAATGGAAGTACAGTGTTGGATTTATATCATCAGACATGATATCAGAACATTTATATCCACCAGCTCAAGATACATTGGTATTGATGTGTGGACCTCCTCCAATGATAAACTTTGCATGTATTCCAAATCTTGATAAACTTGGTTATGATGCTAAGTTACGATTTTCTTATTAAAAAAAAAAAAAAAAATGTTTTTCGTATATATTAGACCGTCCGTAACAGTTTCGAGTTGTATTTGTTGATTCACATTTTGTAATAGATTTTGATCATTGAATGGGTATTTGGTATTTAATAAACATTTAAAACCCCTTTATAATGTTGCTAATAAATTGGTGTTAGCACTTAATTTATGTACAAATTGTTTAGATTAAACTTGTTTAAAATTGTTTAATCAAGCTAAGCATAAAACAATATATTTATATAATATTTCTTCGATATATCTGTTTTAGAATGTATTCCAAAACAATAACGTTTTAAAATTCCTGTTTTGGCTTACACCAAAAGTGTATATATTCTATATTGTATGTGATGTGTTTTAATAAAGTGTTTCATTTTGAGTATCTATTTAAGTATTTACCTATTGATGCAGTGTAAGAAAATATGAAAGCGTTAAATAAATTAAAATAATGTTCTAAACACAGACAAATTACGATAAAACTACAAGCTTATGTCACCACATAATATGTTGATCTTTAAGAGTTTGTTTTTTTTTCGTTGTAACAATAACATGGTAATACAGATTATTGACTTAGCAATGGGTTTCAGGGTGTAGTTAATGTTTTTTTCACCTATATATGTTATAGACTTATAGTTTTATGAATCCGCACATTAATTTTCAAATGAGCTTTATAAAGTTAAGCAAACATCCAAATCCTTGAAGACAACCATTGAACAGTTATCCGTATTTAGAATAATCCATCTGATGGGATCCAATACAATTTAATTTTTAAAATACAATTCAATGCACATGAGCGTACATTTTTCAACATTATTTTCTACTTGTGATTTACATTCGAATGTACAACTTTTCAAACAAGGTTCAACGTTGCAACTTGCAGTAGGTGTGTTGTAAACTGTAATAAATAATAGTTATGTATTGAGTATGATAAAAGTTGTATATTTTTATGATTTAACAATCAGATTCAAATTAAAGGATCTGCAATTTACAAGTAATTAATACAATGTTTTAATCGTCTAACGTAAATTATGGATGCAGTACTGTATGGTGCCCTCTTATCTTAAAAATCTACTAAGATATATGCCATAGATAAATTAGGTGATCTATATTCTATATGATCACCCCTATTTTTACCCTCTTCAACCCTCAAGACAATATGATATGGTATTTAATCTTTACTGTCAATATAGCCTTAATAAGTTTATTTTTTTAATTGTTGAGCTAGATTTTCAAATAAAAAAGTTTTTTTTGTATTAAAGGGCTTGGAAGCCTAATAGAACAATACAATATGGACAATATAACGAACAATAATCATTTAAGTAAACAAATAATCGTCAATGGATCAAATAAACAAATGGAAATTATAATTAAAAAAAAAAATTAATAATGGTAAAAAAACAGATTGCAGCATAAATTATTAGTAAAAAACAATTTAACAGAAGCTTAGGTGCTCGTTACCCATGCACATCATACGGTGAATGGGATTATTCCTACGATAGTTGGTGTTGTGAAATGGAACAACAAAAGAAGAATTAGACCTAGCTGAATGAAAAGGAACTTTAAAAAGTTTATAATATAAAAGATTATAAGAGAAAGAAGAGAGGGAGCATCCACACGTCTGTCAATCAGCTTGTGCAAAAACACCAAATTAGCTTCAAGTTTTCTATTTGCTAGAGATAAGAGTTCGCGTTTATTCATCACTGGCCTATAATCATCATTCATGAGATGGATGTGGAATTCGTAAGATAAAACTCCTCTAGACCAGCTCAAATGCTCATTATAAGAAGAGTCCGCTGTCATAAAAGGGTCCAGAGAATATAGAAGAATATTCCAAAAGAAGTCGTACGAGAGAAGAGCAATATAAAGCTTTGAGAGAATTGGAAAGTTTGAATTCTGATGATGCGCGTATGAAAATTAAAGCATCTTAACTCACGACAGCAAACAGACTCAATATGGTAATGAAATTCAAGATTTAGACGAAAAAGATTAAAGAATACCTGACTCTTTCTTTCTAGTAACAATATTAGTACTTGAACCATTTATCGAGTACCTACGTGTAGTTATGATATTTCTATTCCTAGCAAAAGACATAATGGATTGGCATTTTCCTACATTGAAGCTTAGTGTCGTAGAACTAAACTACAAGACAAGAACATCAAGCTGGAGGATAACACAATCTGTTATTGACTCAATTCTCCTGAAGGTTTTTAAATCGTCAGCAAACATAAGGAACTTAGACTCTGGGTTAACCAATTTAACATAGGCGCAAATGGGGGGGGGGGGGGGGTAGTGGGTATTAGCACCCCCAAATTTAAAATTAGCACCCTCAAATAATTGTTGTGCTTATGCATCAAAACGTCTCTTTACAAAAAAAAAAAATAATTAATGTTAATAAAGTTATTGACTCATTTGCAGAAAAAGACAGACGTATAAATCTTGTATAAACTTATACATAATTCTTGTTCCTGTAAATTGTAATACTTATATTGACAATTGTATTAATTTTTAAAAATGTAATAAACTAAATATTCAAGGTTAAATTGTTAAAAAACATTTTTGCTCGAAAAACTAAAAAGTCATTAATGCCTCATAGTTATAATTTAATTTTAATTTAAGAAAATTGCAGAAAATTGCACCTATGCAATTTAAGACAATTGACCAACAGAGAAGTTTTAGATTTAGACTCTTGCTAGTTTTATTTTGAATTTTATTGAAATCTGATACTTATTAGTTATTATTACAGAATGTGATTAGATATTAGTAGTTTATGAATTCATGATGTATATATATTATAGGAACAATTCTAGTTTGGCAACCTATAGAATTTTTGATTTTTTTTTTTTTATGTGTATTTTTGCATGCTTTATAAGAATGCAAAAAAAAAGGTCGGACAAACTTAGTTTTGAAGTTATCGACAAAAAACTTCAAAAAGTACTATTTTTTCGCAACACGGATTTTTTTTACCAAAAACACGCAGAATTGAATATTTTCAATTTTTTTTTTCAAATTGTGTCCCCTCTGATATCTTCACCTCTCAAATTTAGACTCATATATTTCAACAATAGTCTCTCGACCACCTAAATACAAAGAATATATTTTTTTGTTAACTTTATTCAAAAACATACAATCTGTAATTTAAATTTACAATAAGCATGTATGCGGATAATGGATATACCATATACATTAATTTATTTGGCATGCGACGCGTGAATAAAGAAGCCACCCAATTGCGACACTTTAATAATTTATAACAGAAGTTACAAAGTATATTTAAAACTAATGCACTTATAATTAATTGTTTCAAAAATTATTTTTCTTGCTCGGTGATTACGCGTGTATCGGCACTCGTTACGCCCCGAGGTCTGTTTTAAACTAAATCGAGTATCTACTAATCTACTGTTCTACTTACCGATTTTTTGGTGTAGTAATATCATCTCGTCAAATACAACTTCTCGGTTGAAGGACGTCCAATCAACAAATGATTGCCTAGCAATATTAATTTGATGACGAATAAATTCGAGAGACACTTTTTCGGTCCACAAGTATGAAAATTTCACAATTTGATAAATCGACAAATGAGATTTTAAAAAAAAAGTGTACTTTCGAATGGACTGGTAAAAATCACACTTACCTTTTTTTTGGTTATTAGTATATAATATGACTGTTTACAACGCCAAACAAAACCGTCACATGTGCTGTACTCGGACACAATACTAAAAAGTGGCCTTTTTTACATTTAATTACATTATTTTTTGCAATAAGGCCTCAGGACAATAAAATGGCATGGACAGAGGACCATTCATTTGATGTTCAAACACTTCATAAATTTCAATGATTATTGTCATTTTCACTTAATACCATTTAAAGGCTGAATAAAAACAATACATGTTTCAGTTTCACCAACTAAGTCACTGATCGTAATGAGAAAGTATGACGATTACTTGGTTCGTTATCGGACAAAGTAAATAATAATAAGCTTAATTCATCTTTATTGTAAATTAACTATGACTTATGAGTTTGTTTTCCACATAAATGATTTTAATTTGGTAACTTTAAAATGACTTTTTAATTTCGTGTATACTTTCATTACCGACCTATTTATCTGCATTATTTTAAAATTAAAATAGATTTTCCGCTATTTTTAAAAGAATGTTATTTTTCAAGGTATAAGTGCAAAAACTTTAAAAATAAATAGGATATAGGTAGGTCATTTTTGATTTTACTAATGTATTGAGCGTTGAAAACCACACAATGTGAAAAAACAAATTGAACATATTCAATTCTGCGTATTGTTGGTAAAAAAATACGTGTTACGGAAAAACAGTATTTTTTGAAGTTTTTTTGCCGATAACTTCAAAACGAAGATGTCAGACAATTTTTTTTTACATTCTTACAAAGCATGCAAAAGCACACATTAAAAAAAAAATTTTTAAAAATCGATAGGTTGCTAAATCAGTATGGGTACGTCGTACGTCATGTTTAAATTAGGTACACGACTACGAGACTTCGGTGTAGGTAGTAGGTACTATATACTTATTTTTTCTCTACACCGAGGTTCAAAAGTTTAGACAATAGACACTTCTGGGTATGCAATAGATATATTATTATTAAATATATCTGTGGTGGATGCACTGTTTATATATCAGACTAGACCACAGTGATCAGACTGTTTGTCTTTGATAAGAGCATGTGAACTTGATACGAAATGGTGTATTTGAGTTGCGTGTAGTTGTGTTTATAATAATTAATAATTTTTGGCCAAGTAGTGTTCCATCTTCATTGCTGGACGACAAATAAATTATTTAAGTTTATAGAATTATGTTATGGAGTGGTTGTTTGTTTTAGCTTCAGTAGCCGCATCTTTCATCGTCGTAATTTTTTTTATACTCATAGGTAAGAACCGTCTATATCTTTTGTTTTACGCATTTCAACTACAAACACATGACTGCTTTGTTTAGGCAATGACATTATTCTCAATGGCGTTAGAATCGGATTAATCAATATTGTATGATAGTTAAAAAAAAAATACCTCAAGCTTTTAAATTTTTTATCTTTAATAGTAGTAGTTGAATTTTATTTATTTCATTATCGGGTTAATGTTTTTGAGTAATATGTTTCAAAGAAATCAAAAAAATATATAATACAGAATTAATAGTACAGTACAAATATTAACATTGAAAAAACAATGACAAAATAAATCTTTAAAAATACCATTTTGTTATGATTTGACCTATGTAATAAAGTCTAATAAAAATAAATTATATAATAATGAACCTATAAGTATAGTTTTACTAAATTTATTTTGATAGAAAAGTGACTATTTTTATTTTTATGTAGAGAATATACTTATATTTTTTTTTTCGAATTATTAAATATGAATATTAAGTTAATCATAATAACACACTAACTAAAACTAATATTATATTTTCCATCTGCTCAAAATTTGTCTTACAAATGTAAAATAGGACAAATTTGTGTTTAGCATTCCCATTTGTTTTTCTTTCTACTAATTTAAGAGTGATTGGATCTATTATAAAACCTAAAGATACAAATACTATTTGTTTTTTTTTTAATTTTAATTTGAAAGTAAAATAATATGAGCAATTTAAAACTGTAACAATACAGTCACATCTTACTTGAAAATAAAGTTACAGAAAAAAAATCGAATTAGCTACCCATCTATTTTATTAATTGTGTAAGTAACTATATTTGTTTTTACTTTTATAGGGTGGTGCTTGGTTTGGAAGTTATACTTGTCAAAATTTAAACTAGTACGGGAACTTCTTTCTCAGCAGACACCTGAAGTTAATAGTCCTAATAAAACTCAAAAGACTCTTTAAGTAACTAAACTGCCAAAATATGAATATTCGCTGTGCTAAACCAGATGACTTAATGAATATGCAGCACTGCAATCTGCTCTGTCTTCCTGAAAATTATCAAATGAAGTACTACTTCTACCATGGTTTGTCATGGCCACAATTAAGTTATGTGGGAGAGGATGAAAAAGGAAACATTGTGGGTTATGTTTTGGCAAAAATGGAAGAAGATTGTGAAGATAATCCTCATGGGCATATAACATCACTTGCTGTCAAACGGTCGCATAGACGATTGGGACTTGCACAAAAATTGATGGATCAAGCAGCGAGAGCGATGGTTGAATGTTTTCAGGCAAAATATGTATCATTGCATGTGCGAAAAAGCAACAGAGCTGCATTGAATTTATATACTAATACATTGAAATTTACTATTTCTGAGATTGAACCAAAATATTATGCTGATGGTGAAGATGCATATGCAATGAAAAAAGACTTATCGCACTTCACATTGATGTGTGCTGATGATGAGATACCAAGTAGTGACTGTCTGTCCAATGCTATGAAAAAAATTGAAATTGATTCTTAATGATTTGTATATTTTCTTATAATATTAAAATAACAATTTTAATATCAATATGTTTGGATATTTTTCTTTAAATTTAACTCACAATATATAAATATATTAATTGGTGATCGTGTAAAATATACATGACGTATGATGCTTAAATATAATATGAAATGTACTGAAACTATAATGTCATCAAATAAAAAATAAAACTATTTATATCGTTTCTTATAATTATTGCACAATTGAAATGAGTGGTTTCTTCACATATTCCTATTCATTGCAAAATAATAAACCCTACTTATTATTTTATGATTAAATAAAACCAAATTAGTAAAATTCTCTAAGTATGCGAGTACGGTTAATTCAATTAAAGTATCTATAGCACTGTATTAATAGATAATATGTTACTAGACAATAGTAATATATCATGTTTGTAATAAATTATACAATGTATGTTATTCTTTGTAGTCTTGATAATACACTTTTTTAAATACTGTTGATTGAACATTATGCAATACTAGTTACCTAATATCTCCTGCTATTACACAATAAACTCAAAGGTAATGAATTGATTCAAATCAAAAGTTGTAGTTAAGATTGAAAAGTATATACTCAACAATAATATATTAATATGTACTTTAGAGTAGTTACATCATTGGTAGAAAACAATTATATATTTTAAAGAAAATTCACATTTCATTGTTTTCATTTGATTAAGTATAATATTGTCTTTTTGGCCGCCACGATTATAGATACCTATATTCGGCCCTCAAATATTTTTAATTAATAGGCTACTTAAACATTTATTAGATTAAATAACATGTAATGTACAATTTCAATGTAGTTTTTTCTTTTAACTTAATGATAAAACTATCTTTAGATCAGTGCGATAGTAATAAAATCTAAAAATAATAACACATTTCCCAGATCAATATCAGTGCCGGCCTGGCCAGGGCTGTGATTGCAGCCGTGGCTCTGAGCTTTTATTGTTGTTAATTTATAAGCAATGTCCCCAGTGGGGGCATTTTCACCTCCCACAAAAAGAGATAAAAAAACTGACAAGATTTCAATTATATTTTAGTTTTTATTTATTGCAAATGCATTTATTCAAATTTGAATTCTAACATATACCATTATAAAGTTGGCTTACAAAATATATCTCGTTAACATTTCTACTGGTGGTGGGTAGGAGTAGGAGGAGACATCAGATATACATTTACCCACTACCCTAGGCATAGTTAATGAAAAAAATAAAAGGCCCCCGAGGAAAACTGCATTCGAGGCCTTTTACTTGCAGGGCCGACACATTTATCAAAACTGCATGAATTATTGTATCACTTGCTGCAACTAATAGGAACCAGAAAAGTAGAAAACATTTAAATTTATCGCTTTTTGTTAGGAAGTAATTGCTCATTGGCCTTTATAAAATATATTTGGATTTGTATTAAATTCAAAATTAGTGATAAAAGTTCAAGTTTAATCTAAATACGCAGATTAAGAGAATTCTTAGTAGTTAAAATTTAACTTGAAGACATTTATTTGATTTTACCATTAGTAAAAGGTTTAATATTCGGGTAACTTTGTTTAATGAATAATAGAAGAAATAAAAAAAAAAACAAAAATTTCTTGGTACACAATAATTTAATTTATGTATTTTCCATATATACCATATTTAAAATAAATAATTATATTTACTTCTAAAATTGGTAAAAAATATTGCTTGTTTTATGGAATGTTAAATTATTTCATATCCTCACCATAGCAGTCAATTTCTACAATACAAAAATTTTTTTAAAAAAAATGCTCATAATAAAAGTAAATAGTAATACAATTTTAGATTTATTATAAAAGTAAAAAAAATATGAACATGTTAATAAGTTACTCACATTGTTTAATTAGTTATTAATTACCTATTATATTTAACACTATTAGCTTCTTAAGATCCAATGAAAATATCCTACTTTTCATATTATAAACTATCTAGTGTAAAAAGATGTAGTTCTTAAATCGTAATAACATATCATATTAATCTAAATAAATATAGTTATCAATAAACACGATAAATCTAATATTTAAATTAAAAATTATTATAAAATATTGCACAACCTTGTTATGATAAATAAATACTCTATTGTTCATAAGAACATTATATAAGTTGTACGCTATATTAATTAGTATATTAGGTAATTATAAATATATCAAAACACACTACTGATTTGCCATTTATCGATAAAATATGTCAATTTTTAAATGAATAATATTAAGTCAAACTTGGATAAATATAAATGTATTACAAAATTATTCGACTATAAGCAAAGTAGCAATTGTAAATTATGTTACAAATATCGGCGGTTTTTTTAAACCGTATTTCAATATTAGAGGTTTGATGGAAACACAATAAACACAATAATTTTAATCTAAAAAAAATTTGAGGTTAACTAAAAAATACAATTTTTTATCAAATTTTGTACAACATGTATGAATATTTATGCACAAAAAACACGTAGGAACAAATCAAAATCACAGAATATATAAATGTTTATAAAAATAATAAATATACCATGGTTAAAATAAATTATATATAGACTAGATTTACAAATAAAGCTGATTTAAAAAAAATCAAATCCACAGCTACCTTATTTCATTTGTTTAAGTATAAGAAATTATTTAAAGGGAAAAGGTATACATTTAAAAAATAAAAATCCTAATGAGTTCAAAAAATGCAATTAAGATGTTAGTAAATAAGTAAAATTTTAAATGATTGTAACGGTATGCTGTTGAATAAAAAGTACAAATAGATGTTTAAATTGAGTGTACTATATTTTTCCCATACTTAAAAAAATGCATTGTAGGTAGTTATTTTTAATACTGAATGTAGAAATATAATATTATGTAAATTGTACTTTAAAAGAAATCTCAATAAATAAAAATTAAATAATGAACAAAATACAAAATTTTGAATAGTTTATTTTTGGATTATTCTTTGTAGTTAGCGGATCAGTGGGCTATGAACACTTCACTACTAAAGACTAAACTTTCAATGAATATTTATATTCAACAATAAAATTATTTGAGCAGAATGTTTTGAATGGCCAAATAAATTTCATTTATTGACATTTAAAACTTTTTTCATGCTAACATTTAAAATTTTAAACATAATATAAAACTTATAGACACAAATAATATAAAAATAAATAGTATATTATTTGTCAAATAGTTTTGTAATATGAATTAATTATTGTCAAATTATCATTTAGGTGTTTCAATGTTCAGAATGTCTGCCTTTAGATTTCCATAACCTTAATAATACTTTACAATATGCTAACAGATCTTTAGAAGTTAGTTGTAATGTAAGCAAATTAATTTTATATGGTACCATTTCAAGGTTAAATGATTAACATCTACATTCTCACAACTATAGTGACTGAATAACAATAGGTTTAAAAATTTTAACATAATTATTGTTTTAGGGTAGCTAGAACTTTTTTTTCAAATTTAATTTTGTAATGCTAACTGTACTTTTTTCGGCGAGAGAATGCATAGCAGACCATCCAAAATCAGTTTCCTGATTTCAAATTTTTCTTACATAAGTATAAAGCCAAAACAGAAAATAAGTCTTCATTCTTAAGATCCGAAACCAAAATTCACTATATGTATACCGAATATCATTGATTGTAAATATTTTTTATGATCGGTAAAGTCTTACATAAAATGTATTCAATAATAAAAGATTTTTATTATTAATTTTAATTTGAAATAAGTATGACAACGTGATATTAGCTGTATTTGATACATTTCTTTTTTTTAATTTCTGACTTAGTGAATAATGCTTCAAGATCTATAAACAAAAAATAAATACAACTACTCTGTAACCTTTTTTTGTTATAAAAATAATTGTTAAGCTATAATAGTTCTTAACTGAAAGCTCAGAAAAAAAAATTATAAAATATTTGTGCTTTTTCCAAGATTAACTCCCCTTTGACAAAAAAAAATAATTGCATATAATAATGCATATATGAGCTTTTTTTAAATGTATATATGTATGCACATATTTCATTGATTTTTAGCACATCAAGTTCCGATTGCTGCTTATAATATTCATTACTGTTACCATGGTAGTTGTAATAATATTCACATCAATAGAAAACTAGATATAACGAGAAAAAATGTCTCCAATGTTCATTAATTGGTTTAAAAAAAAAAAATTAATAGACAAAGTTCAGTGTCCCTCCCACCAAAATTGTTGCTAGGAGTGATAGACAAATGATAAATAGTTAACATAATGTATCTAAAATGTAAAGTATATTGAGTTTATATTGTTACTGCATTCCATTTTTTCTAAGATATTAATATTGTTGAATAGTTAGAAGTTTATAAGCTGCTAATAATGTAACTTTCACTGCTAATAATTGTCATTATTTTTTGTTTGGTAAATTGTTTACTAATTAGGAAGAATAACTTTAAAAATAAATTACTTAATGTATAGATTATAAAGTTAATATAAAATTTATTTCATCATATAAATAGTCGCCTAATTGTTACCTACACTTATATTGTTTTCATTTTTACTGACTTTATTAAAATGAAGTACAATAATAGACCATTTGCTATACATTTCAGCAAAAAGCACTAAGAGCTACATATCAAACAGAATACGGACAAAACATAAGGTTCATTTAACTTTTAAAACAGATATTTTCAAATCATTCACAATATGCGAGATTTCTACAACGCTGTCTACCATTTCTTGTACAGCAGTAACACTAGGAAATAACTGTGTGGCTATTTTAGATTTTTGAACTACTGTTGAAATACCTACAGATAAAGCTTTTGAACACTGTTCCACATGATTCTTCACAGTTGACTCTTGTACGTTTCGACATATTGTATCACCAACAACAACCAATTGATGTGCAATTAATATTATGTACTTGACTTTCATAACAAATACTGGTGGTGGGCGGTTCTCTTCAACTATTTGTAAAAACGTGTTAATGTGACTAGTTAACAAATCAGATTGACTGCCAATTTGGTGACTGTAGAAATTAAATATCTGAAACAAAATTTAATTTTTAAATATTTTAAAAGCTAAGAGATGTTAGGTTTACAGAGTGATACAGAGAGGTATACAGAGTGATTACCACACATGCTCATCCGTCATTTTTTCATTTAATAATTAATTTGTTCAAATTCTGATTTTAGTAATATATTGTTAAATTTACTTTAAAACCATATCATACAATTATTGCGATTTTTTGTACTACTTTAAGAGTGTTCTGTAATGATACATATCTCTGTTTTTTTTTTCAAATGAGAACCCCTATGTTTTACTGCCAATGGTTTAAATAGTTTCTCAGTTATTAAAATGTATTTACTAAAGATAATAGTTCTTAATAATCGCAAAACTTCAATAAATATAAAATGGATGTAATATTAAACATCCAGTGCCAGATTTAGAGGGAATGCAGGGTGTGAAATGCTCCAAAGCCTTAAAGCTGAGTTTGTTTTAGAGGCCTCAGGTTGATAACCTAGATTTTCTAACCATATAAAGGAATAAATTATTTAATGAAGAAAATAAGTATTTAAAAAAATCTAATATACTTTTATTTTTAACTGTTGGACTCAGTTTAATATCAACTTATTATTCAATTTAATGGAACACATGAGCCATGAGGTATAAACTTATTTGAAATGTTTAATTTTTAAATCCACCATCACTTTTATCAAATAAATACAAAAAAAGAATAATTAAAGACTTATAAATACCAATTTTTTTAAGGGACTACCAATATTAGTAGTTGCGCCACAGCCTCCGAGACTTAAGATTTGGCATAGATCTAGTATTTATATACTTAAGAATTAAGAATATTTATACAAATTTTATTATAACTGTTGAATAATATTTATTAAAATTTCCATCTTACCATGGGCAAATTTAAGTTTCTACACTAGACATAGCAGGTAAAAAAAATACATAGTATGTTAGTTCCTACACAATAGAAAAAAATACAAAAGTAAGTTCCTACATTGTAAAAAAAAGGTGCTTATGTTCCTCCACGGCAGAAAAATATATTATTATATATGTACAATTATGTGTCATAGTTTAATATATTATGAAATATAGAATATTTTTTTGTAACAATTATGAAATATTACATTCAAATATACTGAAATTAATTATGTATTATGATATTTTTGAGGTATAATATTTTATAAAATATTGAATTATAAAATGCATTTAAATTAAATATAATAGTATTTTTTAATACCATGTAGAAATCTACATACACACCTTTTTTTACTATGTAGTAATTAGCGTATGTAATTTTTTACTCAATACTGTTGAGTATTAATTTACGATTCCCCTTTAATAGACACTCATAACTTTCAAACTTGTTTGTATAGACCTATTATCTTTAGTACACGAAGGTTCCTAACAACTCAAAAAAGGTTTGTATGAATTTTAATATTGATGCTTCAACATTTTTAGAGAAATTATCTGTTAAACAATTTACAGGAGCAAAAAAGGGGTTGGTTGTGTTTGAAAAATAAAAGTTTGTATCTTCTCAGGAATTATTAAATAGGTGGTACAAGAAATTTAAAGATTTCGAATAATAAAAAGAGAGTGAGCATGCTCAGTAAAACACAATATATGTATCATATTAACATAAAAATAAAGATATTTAAATATTTTACTTTTTTATCATTAGTAGAAAGTCCAGGAGGACTGTCATTTTTAATGGAAGCACTAGTTGTATTTCTATTTTTGCCACTTTCATCACCTATGTATTCATAATCATCATCTTCTTCATCTTCAGCACAAATTAAATTTTTTTTAAACAATAACGTTGAATTACCCTACAAAAATAAATTAAATAGGTAATAAAAAAAGGTATCATTTTATTGTTTTTATTGACAATATTGAACAAACAACATACAATAAAGAAAAATAATAAATATTCCGCTAAGTAAAACTGATTGTCTATAGTTCAATATAATAAATAAAATATAAATTGATTTAACATACAACTATATAATATCTTTTGAAACTATACAATAATTTACTTCAATAGTCAATAAAAACTTATAACTTAAGTATCTAATGTATTGATTGTGACATGGAAGGTAAATTATATTTAGATTGCAAGTGCAAAATTGGTGTATTAGAGAATAATATGCAATATGCATAATATACTATAATAAAAATATTAATATTACCTTAATAAATGATGTGATCTGACGTATGTCATCAGTCAATAATTTGGCACATGAAATTAGCTTATCCAAGGCGTCTTCAGAGTATTCACATTCATTGTTTGAATCTCTGTATAATATGTGTGGTTTCCAATCAAGGCAATCCAAAGTATTGGTGGAAAAACTTATCATTTTATCAGTTTTCATTAAATCAAATACTAATGGATGAAGTTTAGTTGAGATCCCTAAAAAATGATATTTGTATAATTACTATAATTATTTTTGATGGTAATTATGGATACACGTCAATTTACCGCACGACAATTAATCAGAAAATAACATTTTCAGTAATAATTATTAATTTGAATATATGTTTAATTTGAATAAATTTGGCTCAACTCTGGTTACTAGTATGGTAAAAAATTTATTTTTTCGCCTTAGACTAAAAATGTTATAAAATTAATTAAATATATAATGTATGTACATTTAATTGAATATAAAAAAATAATAATTAATTATCAAGGTAGGTATGTAATAATAGTCTATACAACTATTAGAGAAAAATACGGACTGATAAAATAGGGTCTGAGTATAATGTTAGCTAAGACTGGATCGTTATCGATCAAGACCCTGCCTTAAAATTACCCTGAAAATAACCTATGTAGCTATGTTTGCGGTCAATTGCTTACGATAAATTGACGGAATACCGGTAAATATACCTTTATCACGAGCATTAACTGCATTTCCTAGACATCCTTCTGAAAATGCAATAAATTTATGTAAACTATTTTTTAGCCGCAAAGATACAATTTTGATATCAAGTAGATTAGCTTCCAAATTTTTTTGACTCCTCCAATTTGGTCCAGCATAATTTAAAAGCTGAGTAGTATTAGAAGAGACTTCTGATGTTAATTTGTCTAAGCATTCCAAAGCACTGTTCAAGTCCATAGATAATTCTTTAGGTTGTAAACTATTTGATGGAACATCATAATCCTATTTTCATATGAATTTTTTTTTAAAACAAATACAATATTTATTTCTGATATGTTTATACCTGACTACTTATAGTTAAATTCTGAAATTCGGATGGCAAAGAAGCTAATGTTCGATTTCTAGGAACATCATAATCCAGTCCAATACTACTGGACCGATTAGATTCACTTCCGCTTGTGCTACTACAAATACCACCAGTTGATAATGAGCTGATTGAACTACTTGGAGTGACTTGTCTATTCAGCGGTCTTGGTACATCATAGCTTTCTTTTGAAACAAGGGGATGTTGGTTTGGGAGAGGATCATAGCTATCACTACAGCAGCCACTGCTGCTTCCAATACTGAGTGGTCGTTTTGTAAAATCATTTGTTAGCCGATCTAATGCTAATCAAAAAAATGTTGAGATAATTTTGTAGATTGTATGTTGCAAATACTGTTATTTATAAAGTTATGGATAAAATTTAATATAATCAATTTACTTACCATGATTGGTAGGTGGAATATTATAGCCATTAGTATCAACAGTTTTTTGAGGAGTATCATATGTAAGGAGGTCACCCAGTTTCTTTTGTGACGTCACCTGTTTACAATTACATAAAACAAAATAAAAATAAATAAGAACAAAAATAAATAGGTAAAAAAAAATGTCAAATATATTAATTACAGTATTTAGGTTTGAGTGCCAGCTTTGATGCTTGCTTTCGTGATTGAAATGATTTTGATCTTGGATACAAGTTGATGATATAGTTTGAGGTTCCGTCACTTCATACACACCTGGTATTAGTCTAAGGCGATTTCCAGGACATATCCCCTAGATGAAAAAAGAAAATGAGATATACAACATACTAACATGGTCAATTGTATAGAAATATACTTGACGGCCTCTTAATGAACATAACCACCATCCTTCAAGACCAGCTGTATTTTGTTCTAATACTGTTAATATGTCATCTTTTCTAAATGCTAATTCATCAGGAGCTTCAGCAATATTATCATACATGGCTCTAGCAATACAGTTCTAAAAATAAAAATACCTACTATAAATTTAAGCAAAACCATTTAGCATATTCATAGTATACGTTATCATTAGAATCAATAGGATATGAATGCCAATTCTACAATAAGCCTAGACACATTTTTTTTAAGTGTGAAGATTGATCAACATTTGTTTTGTCTACATGAAAATGCACGAAAACGGACCAAACAATATTCTTACAAACTCAATTTTACAAACGTAGGTCATTTCACCAGGTCTAAACAATTATTATCGTTGGGAAGAATACATTGGGAGAAATTTTCTGTTAAACTACAAATGGATTCGGAGAGAAAACGTCCAATTTATGACTTGTATCTGGCTGGATATTATTTGTACCAGATAATTGGACATTACGTTGACTCGTGGACAAAAACTTAATACTTGATACACATTCCTACATCATGTTTTCAAATACTGAAATATAGGTACTCACAGTGTAACCATTATTTACCGAACCGTTTTGATGAAGCTGTAACATTTTGAGCGTTTAAAGGTAACAACTATATTATTCTTCATAGAAGATATGTCGTCTTGATCGTATTATTCGTGTCCGGCACAACGTACAGACTTAACGAAAAACCACGTCCAACCATATGCTGCACGTCGTCCATGATATTATGTTTAGTACGATTGTTTACAGTTTTTGGCGACAAATTATCTAGGTCTCCGTTGGAGTTGCGAAAAATCGGACGAATCGACATTTTTTCCGCCGTCTGTCCGTGACTCATACCGCGGCGACGACGCATGAGTCACGCGCCGAGAAGTCGACGAGCCGGCCGATGCAGTACGCGGTTCATGGCGTCCCGCGTCTGGTCCGGGACTCTGGAAGTTGGGCGACGGGCGAGCGACGGGCGGTCCGTCCTCGTAACTTGTTGTTATCGTCGGATTCGGGGATCGCCGAAATGATAACGACGCCGATACCCTTATCGGCCCCAGTCTCGATGACTTTTGGTTTTTGACGAAGGCGCCGCGGCCGTCAGGTGGCACCACTGATCCGTAGGACGGCTACGGCCGCGGCGCCCGACCGGGCTACCTACGCCACTACGCGAGGACGGTAACCGGTTACATAATATATATGTTGTATTTCTTCCGAGGTATATTACAGAATACTTATCCGTTGAAAAGAAAATTTTCGTTTCTTCCGAGTTCCGATCATTCCGTAAGTCCGAATTCCGATTTCCGATCGTGTAGAACGCATTCGGGCATTCCTGTTCGGCCATTAATTTAGCATTTTTATGCGATTAGTGTGTAGCACAGGTATACAATAATTTAACAATAATACAGGTATAAATTATCATTATTATGGGTCGAAATGGAATTAAAACAAACAATCTATAATTCCGTAATCCGTATTTCCGTGAACGTGACCATACATTTATAATATTATTATCTTAATCCAACAACAGCCTAGTCCCGGCTGGTCGAAAACCGATACCTATCGGCTATCGTCATTCGTCACTCGTCAATCGTCACTGCTCGACGGCAAGTCGCGCGTCGATTTATGAAATATTAATAACATGTCCTGCAGTGTCGTATTTTCCGGTGTTTTCCGCACGCATTTCTAGACGATAGGTTAGAAACTATTATTCATGTAAATTGTTTTCACAGTTTTTTATTTTACGTATAGACTTGCCCACTATTATACTATTTCAGGTGATCTATACTTTTATTTTATATTAGCAGTCGACTGCGAACAAAACTAAAATAAAACCTTTTTAATTTACCTTTCAATTCGTCAACCTGCCGTCCGTATCCATCTATCGATTTTTAAACATCGTTAATGATTTATTTTCTCTAATATAGGCGGTACCTACGAATTCAGCTGGTGATATCTGTGCACGAAACATAACTGCCTGTTGCTCATGCCAGAATCTCAAACGAATTTCAGACGGGGAACAAAATATGTAAGTGATCATTTTCAATATTGTTGTAATAATATTTAATCGACCGTTTTAAAATTTACATAACGCACGTTTTACATGTAGCGGTCCACGGCTTTTACCTATTATTTATATTAATATCATTGAGCACTATAAGTTATTTATTATATATATCTTATTTATGTATCTATACGATCTATATATAGATATATACCTAATATAAGTGTTATCGGCATTATTTTAAGTAGGTACTAACAGTTATTAGGTATGGGTACCTCGTACTATAGGTAATAGCTAATAATTAATATTAATTAGGTATTTAAGTATTATTCAATGTAGCACTGTATGATAAGTGTTAGTTTTTGTGTTTAATCTTCCTTACCTATATTATAATTATTGTCCACATAATATGAGTGTAATATGACATTATGACGTATTGACTTATGTATACCTACTAACTGCAGATAATTAGTTATTATCACCGAGATAACAATATTGTATACTTATGGTTATTTATCTCTGTGATTATTATACAATTATAGATGTAATAGAACCACAGACTTCTATATTTTAATAGTCTGTCTGTGGATAGAACACTGATAACGTGAATGAAGTACGCCTATCGAAGTTTCTCGCATTATAGATTTACAAAAAGTCGAGCTACTTTATTTGTACAAAAATTAATAATATATTACACGGGAAACGTGAAAACTCATTTATTTTAATTTTGTGTTTTATTCACTACAATTATTTATATAAAAAATAAATTATTAAGATATACACACGTAATAAATTTTAAATTTGACAAGTATAGATTAAAATATATCGCGTTATTTAGATATTAAATGTTTGCGAATGATATTCTATAATAATTCCTACGGGCTTTATGATATTATATAGGTATTATAGTATATTTATTAATGCAGGTAATTTTATAGCCAAAACAGCTAGTATAGAACTGTTATATAAACAATATAATATGATAATAGATTAATATTATAATTTATGAACTACTTATCTGGTATTCCGTGTGCTTACTTCTTTAGAAAACTACACTAATAAATGTATTATCTTAGTCCATCATATTCGTTTACATAGCACATTTACATTTTCACAGGTCCAACACTGCTGCAGTGACTTCTGAGTCAATATTATAATATTAATTGATGTAATATAAGTATTAACTATTAAGTATACAAAATATGTAATGTGAGATGTAGCGTTGAACTTAGTGTATTTATTAATTTTCTTTACTATGAAGTTGTTAAACTGCAATATTCTATTATATTTTAATCAAACAATATTTAAAATATCTGTTTGTCATATTATATCATTATAATTTTATTATTATTTATACTTCGATTTTAAAGTATGGTAGGTACCTTTTATCTTTACCGACTACCCAGTGATGAATTTGCTAAAAAAAATATGCATTTTCCACGCAAGGAGTTAAAAATGGTAAAAACCTTACGATTAGGCAAGTTAAAAATGTTCACGTTTCTCTCAAATTGATTACTTTCTTACATCCCTAAAATACAAATAACTTAATATTTATGGCCATTGTCTTTTGTGGATATCTATATAATTGTAAATTGTATTAATTATCAAAAAAAAACCATGAAAACTTGAAAGAAAAAGAGCCTCACTTATAACACATTCTATTTTTGGAAATTTAAATTCATAAAAATGACATACAATTTTATCTACCCATAAAGTAAAGTACACAGTTATATACTCTTAAACGGTATACCAGCTATATGGACTATGGTTGATAAAAGGTCATTGATCCTCAAAACGGTTTTTTGATAATCACCTAGAAGTGATATCAGGTGATTATCAAAATAATAAATACCATCTGCGAATTGAAAAATATAAATAATTATGGAATATTTTTATATTGTCACTTTATTTACTATATTATTATAGTTTATGCTGTAGACCCAATATACCAGTATAATACCACCTTTACCTATTATCTATAACATCATAAATGTTGGTATTCATAATTCATATATAAATATACTGTCCGAATTACTATGTTCATCCTCATCTTTACATTTAATATATTATATTGAATTATTTCTTATGGAAAATATGGATACACATCAATTGATCGGAAAATAACATTTTCAGTATTAATTTTTAATTTGAATAATTAAATTAATTCAAATCCTGATTTTTGTAATTTTTAAGTAGGTATACTTAAATATCACATTTTCAGTAATTTTGCTACAATAAAGAGCGATTCAATCGTCTTTATTAAATAAGAACCATGTACCAACCTATTTTACTTTAATTTCTTCAAGCGGATAATTTTTTTTAAATTTCGATGTATCTAAACCAAAATTTCAACGAGTAATTTCTGAGTTATTATGTGTGTAATGTGTTTATATAATTGGTAGGTACTGAGGACAATACAACTTAAACAGTTAAAAATGGTTTTACAAAAATATTAAATCAAAGCAGTATTATGGATGATATAGTATTTAATAGAATACTCCTAATATAAACATTAAACATCTAAATAATTGAGAACACTACGGTCCTTAATCATATTACTAATTAGTATGAAAAAGAAATTCAACAATATCAAAGATAGTATTATATTTTCTTAATTCGATGATTGATATAGTTTGAAAATGATGCTAAAGCTTGTGTGGATTCAACGAAATGTAAATTTGTTATATGTTATAGTCGCGTATTGCGTGTATGATGAATGGAGAAGAAAAAACCATCATCGACATAACGTAGTATGTAATTGTAATGTCAAAAATTATTATTGACCAACGGTAAAAATATGTAGACATAATATTTAGGTATAAGACGTTCTTCGAGTATTTTTGAACTAGTACGGTAATAATAACTGAAAAAATAAAATAGTATGAGTAGAACTCAAAAGTTTCATCTCAAAGGGCATTTCATATTGGTTATTTATGACTATTACCATTGTCTTATATATAATTATATTAGAAAATAGGAATATAGGTATGGAAATTGCAATTTTAATCACAATTACGGTGCCATTCTGCCATGACAGGCACTTAGTTTTCAGAAGTTAAGTGTGTGCACAGGAAAAAAGTTAATATTTTGTTCATTCATAATCAGTAAGATTTCAATAAGTACTCGAGCAGTCGAGCCCGTGAACATCCGCGTATTCGTCACCTAATTCCTATTACCTATGGGCTATGGGCTATGATCGGTACAGCTATGCCGGTAACACGGAGGCGATAAGAAAATAGAAAATCAAAATGCATAAAAACCACAATGACTACTAATCATATATTTGTTTATCTTGTAAGATGTTATACGATTGTTATAGATAGCTGTGGGCTATTTCAATTTGTCTGTCATTGCCTACTGTAATTGTTACGAAAGGATGAAGTATTGTAGATGACCCAATGTTGACCGGGTTAAATAAATTATATATTTAATAACTATCTTCAATTGTATATTATTGTGATTTATTTTATGGCTTAGTGTTTACAATGTTTATTATAATGTCACTAGTAAAAGCGTGTACATTAATTTAGCCATAGGACACGACTGAGATTTCACCCTTAAAATACGACATGTTTTCAATGCCTTTTGGATTTTGGTTACGACACTAATTATCGTTTTAATTTAATTTAATTTAAACTAATATTATTCACTTAAAACTATTTAATCTTTGCCAAGACCAAGCAAAGCTATATAGTTATTTATAAGTTAGGTATAACAATATACGTCACATCATAAGTCTATTTTTATCTGCTTTTTGTATAAAATACAACTATGATATTATTAATTCATTAATTACTGAATATAATTTACTTTATAATATTATTATTATTGTCTATACTCCTAAAGTTTGAAGTTTTTGAATTGTATTCTTATATAATTTAACAATGAACTATTTAATATAATATGTAGTAATAACTAATAAGACCAATACGGAATGTTATTATCAGAAATCAGCATTCACTAATATTGTATGTTATTTATACTATGATTTCATTAAAATTGAGTATTTTAA